CTGAGCCTCTTCTTCCTCCTTAGTCACCTGGCAACCTTGGGTCTCGGCCCCCTCTGTTCATGCCTCTAGCCTGGCTCTGATCAAACGCCTAGACTAAGAATCAGCCTCTGAAGGGAAGGTTCCAAATCCCCCTGCCCTTCAACTGGACTTTGCAGAGGGCAGCATGGTGAAGGGGAACAAATAAGAGCTTTTGCATCAAACGCAGCTGGGTTCAAATCCTGGCTCAGACACTGGCTGACTGGGTGGCAATGGGCAAGCCACCTGCCCTCTCCATACCTCTTTCTTTATCTGTAAATTGGAGGTGCTGATAAAAATCTGTATCTTTCAGAGTTGTATTGGTTGAGAAAGGACTAGAGGTATAATGACATGTGACACGTGGCAGTCAATAAATGGTAGCTACTATTGCAAAGGCGCGCTAGCTTGCTGGCCCCTTGCTAAGGAGAGAGGGGAGCAGTCTCTGATGCTCTCATTTTACAGCTGAACAAACTGAGGCCCAGAGATGGGAAGTGCCACCTTGTCAGACAGGGCTTCTTGGACGTACCTGGGTTCTAGAACCTTCCACTGAAGGCAGAGGCCCAGGGGATGTTCTCTGGAATAGTGGCCACACCTAAGAAGGTTTCAACCTCCCTGCATTCTTCCTTAACCTCTTTCTTTCGTTTCTGAGCTCATCTCCTCTTCCCATCTTTCCCCTTTATTTTTAACTCTGTATTTTTTTTCTAGCTCCTTCCTACCAGAGGTTCATATTTTGCATCAAGCCTCTTCTAGCTTTTGAGTGTTTTGTTTTGTTTCTCCCACGCACACGCACGTGTGTGTGTGTGTGTGTGTGTGTGTGTGTGTATTGAATTTTTTTCCCTGTGCATGTTATTCTTGGAGACAGAACTGCCTTCGCTTAGATGATGGGATGGAAGGCATGGGGACAGAGGCATGACATCCCCTTTGGGACACTGCTGTCTACTGGCCCACCAGGGCATGGGAATCTTAGGGTAGGTCACCAGGAAAGCTCCCAGTGTGCAGGGCAGGGACACTTCTTCCCAAAGAGACAATGAAACAGCAAGTGGCAGCCCTCACCTCCTGACCGCAGCTCACCTCTCCCACTCCCTGCCACCAAAGTTAGTCTCCTGCCTGGAAAAACAGCCTTGAGCTACCACAGTTACGTCTGTTTCTCCAGGAATGCAACAAGGACCACAAACCAAGGCACAGTGAGGAGTCACTGCTGGGAAGACCAGCCTTCAAGTCCAGGGTCACAGAGTGGGTTATCCCCTCCCCATCGCCAGATCCACTTTGCGCTTCTGGCCTCTCATGGCCATGATGTGTGTTACCAGATTTCTCGTGACCATCCTATCACATGATGAGGAAACAGAAGTCCAGAGAAGTGGAGGGGCCTCCCAAAGTCACACAGCTGTGGTTTCCTGATTCTGAATCACAAGTAGACATTGCTCCCAAAGCCCAGAAGATCTGCACTTAGCATAGGACAACCGCGCACCATTCTTCAGAGTGCTCAGACACATTTATCACAGTGGGACGCTGATCACCAACACATGGTCTGACGGGTTTCAGCTCTTCTATTTAAAAAGTCAGAGAAAAGTTTAAGGAATGTTGGGAATTTTCCCTGAAAAGCATTTTAAAACATTTTCATCTCTAAAGGAATAAGCCCTTACCAAGCAAGAAAACTTGACTCTCCATAAAAAACTAATTTCCTGGGGTTTTACTGACTTTGGCTTTTTACTTAACAGTGAAAGGGTCATTTCATTTACACACAGTCTTTTCAGATGAGAAGGCCCCTTTGAGGGTCAGAACCCTGCTGCCTACAGGGTGGCTTTGTGGGAATTAGAAAACGGTGTCACTTCCTCAATACATTTACTTCCATCTATCAAAACATTGTTGTAATACATGGATTTCATTAAGTTGAGACATTTAACTGCCATCTGCCAGAAAATTATGATAAATATCACAAAACTATATAATGTCTGTGAAACAGCATCCCTGGATTATCATCTATTCTTTGTAACAACACAAAAACGTAGTGGCTTAAAATGAGAATAAACATTTATTGCCTCCCAGTTTCTGTGCATCAGGAATTTGGGAGAAGCTCAACTGATCAGTCATGGTTCAGTGTCTTTCATGAGGTTGCAATCAAGATGTCAGCCAGGGCTGCTGTCATCAGAAGGCCTGACTGGGGCTGGAAGATCTGCTCTCAAGGTGGCTCACCCATTCAACTAGCAAGTTGGCATTGGCTGCTGGCAGAAGGCCTCAGTCCTCTGCCATAGGGGCCTCTCCCTAGGGCTGCTTGAGCATCCTCACAACATGGCAGCTGGCTTCCCCAGAATGAGTGATCCAAGAGAAAGCAAGGTGGAAGAAGTAATGTCTTTTATGACCTCACCTCTGAGGTCCTGTCTCTTGACTTCCACAGATCTTATTGATTAGGCAGGTAAGCCCTCTTTATGTGGGAAGGGACCGTACAAAGGCATGAAATCATGCCACCAAGAGGCAAGAGTCACTGAGAGCCATGTCTGAATCTTCTACTACAGCCCGCTTAGATGTAGTGCCGTTATATAGTAAACAACTTGCACAACAGTAATTTCAGGCCAGCTAAGGACAGCCCTTGCCATAGACCTTCCACCAACTTTGTGCCAGGACTGTGCTAAGCACTTAATGATATTATCTGCCCTCAAGCAGCTAACAATCTAGCAGAGACACCAATCATTAAAGTTCAAGGCAGAGTCAAATAAATGACAAAAATCAGGAGACCAAAGGCTGGAGAGACCGAGCCTCTGAATTGAGGGATGGGGAAAGGGTTGTCTAAGTGGGACCTTGAAGTGTGGATGGGATGTGTACCCCTGGAAGTGCAAGATGTTGGAGTTCGCGAGCCAAGAATGCAGCATGAACAAAGGCATGGCAGCTGAGAACAGGGTGTATGTTGAGGGTTTGGAGAGTAGGGGCTGCAAAGGTACATTTGGGTCACATTGGAGGGGAGTATTACGGCCACTCAGTCCGTCCAGGTGACCACCCACTCTCAGCTGTGCTCAGAAGGTGGGATGGGAAAAGCTGATTGAGCCACAGCTCTATCTTCTCCTCTCCCCTTCTCCTCTCACCCTAGCAGAAGAGAAACCACCACAAAACTTACACAGAGTAGGGGAGGCTGTCTGGGGAGCAAGGAAGAGGAATCCTTCCCCAAGACTCTAAGAAAGGCAGGAGGCTGGGGCTGGGGTGGTCTCCACTTTATCACAGTCATGTCATGGCCCTTTAAGCTGTTAGAGCATAGGCATTCTTGATTTGTTCTCTGTGCATCCCCAGAGTCCAGTACAGAGCCTGGCACAGGAAGAAAACCCAGTAATATTTAGTGAATGAATGCATGGACTGGCAGGGTCTCTGGCCCTTTTAAAGATGAGAAGGTGGAAAAGCAGTGAGGCCTTAGCTCTGGGAAGCCTCCCAAGCCTCTTGGGGCATGGCAGAGAAGTCTAACTCCAGGCACCTGGCCAGTGAGATTGCTTAGGGAAGGCCTGGGCTGACCCATGGTGGAGGAGAAGGTGAGGGCAGGGGAGGAGCACCCAGCACCCTCCATGCCCACCACCTCCCCAGTGCCACCAGGCCCTACTCACGTTTCATGAGCTGGCACCTCTCACTCCTCCCCGCCCCTGCCTCTGCCTTCCCAGGGCAAAACATCCATAAGATAAATGTGTAAGGATCTCCAGAGCGCATCCTGCTGAGCGTGGGGCTTTAGGGCTTTTCTTTTTCGTTTTCTCTCCACTTTATTTGTACCAAGTTATCTTGGTACAAGCCGCTGGGGCAGGACTTAGCTAAGATTTATCTAGATGGGCCATGCTGGAACTCTGCTGCAAGTAGAAGGGCCCTATCAAGCTCGTCCAATCCGCCTTTTTTTATTGCTGTTGTTCTGTTTTGTTTTTAGACTTTTGCCAGCCTGAAGCCATGGTTTTTGGTTTCTGTCTCTAGTGATAAGTGGAAAAGAGGGATGAGGAAGGGGCTTTACTGGCCCAACCAGAAACAGAAACTAACAACCCATGACTGTATTCTCTCCTTGGGACACCCCTACCTGCTCTGGCACATACCACATTTTGTCTTGGTTGACTATGTTCACCCGTGCTGTGAGCTGTGCTTCCTGAAAGGAAGGGATGCCAGTTGTCCTCTGTCATGCCCTGCTGTCTCCTGGCAGCTGGGATTGGCCATACCTTATGTATAACATGTATAATGATAAGGTGTCTCAGAAGAGGCTTCTCACCACAGGAGTTATTCTCATGAGGCTAACAGAATACAGACATGAAAAAAGTAACAATGTACTTGCATTTATGTTGCATGTATATTTATATTGAATATTGTATTTATATTTGTATTGAATTTAAATATTTATAGGTGAAATGGCTCTCAGATATACATATATAGGATGTTAGTCTTTTTTTAATAAAAAGATCAAGAATTACAAATGGAAGGAAACTTCAACTACAGTGAATGAGTAAGGTCAGGAAGCAAAACATACCACAAGGCCCCCATTCACTTGCTGAAAATGGGCCACGAAATTTGTTTTAAGCTTCCCAGTAGCCAGTGCAAAGTGAGTCTGTTACAGAGTCAGAGGATTTGTGAGACAAACCAGAGCTGCTTCTCAGCAGAAGCAGTGAGAGGTCCTTGCGCCACAGAGGTGGGTCCTGTTCCTGTAGCCAAGGCAACAGCTGGGTTTGTGTGGCTTCTCATCCTGCCATTGTATTCTGCAACTGCATGTTGGCAAAGTGGAATTCAGTAAAACCAAGCCTGCAAGAAGCCTTGCAGCCTTTGCTGAGTACCTGACACCAGCTGCCCAGTGAGAAGCCTAACTCCAAGAGTCTTAGGGGTCCAGAGAAAAGCCCTATCTTGTAAGCCACGCTGTGAATTGCAGGTGAGATTTGGCAAAGCTGAGAGGCAGGAGGACCAGCCTTGCAGTGGACAGGGAGCCCTTATGCAAAGGAGGTGGCTCAGAGTCCTAACCCAGTCTTCTCCGTGTCTCTCTGCAGGGCTCTGGCTGAGAACATGGCCAATGACATTGACGAGCTCATTGGCATTCCCTTCCCCAACCACAGCAGTGAGGTCCTGTGCAGCCTCAATGAGCAGCGGCACGATGGCCTGCTGTGTGACGTGCTCCTGGTGGTGCAGGAGCAGGAGTATCGGACACACCGCTCCGTCCTGGCTGCCTGCAGCAAGTACTTCAAGAAGCTCTTCACCGCCGGCACCCTAGCCAGCCAGCCCTATGTCTACGAGATTGACTTCGTGCAGCCTGAGGCTCTGGCCGCTATCCTGGAGTTTGCCTATACCTCCACGCTCACCATCACCGCCGGCAACGTCAAGCACATCCTCAATGCTGCCAGGATGCTGGAGATCCAGTGCATTGTGAACGTGTGCCTGGAGATCATGGAGCCTGGGGGGGATGGCGGGGAGGAGGATGACAAGGAGGATGACGATGATGATGAAGATGATGATGATGAGGAGGATGAAGAAGAGGAGGAGGAGGAAGAGGAGGAGGATGACGATGATGACACGGAGGATTTTGCTGACCAAGAAAACTTGCCTGACCCCCAGGACATCAACTGCCACCAAAGCCCTTCCAAGACGGACCATCTCACAGAGAAGGCCTATTCAGACACCCCCAGGGACTTCCCTGACTCCTTCCAGGCTGGCAGTCCTGGCCATCTGGGGGTGATCCGGGACTTCTCCATTGAATCTCTGCTGAGGGAGAACCTGTACCCCAAAGCCAACATCCCCGACAGGAGACCCTCCTTGTCTCCATTTGCCCCAGACTTCTTCCCACACCTCTGGCCAGGGGACTTCGGTGCCTTTGCCCAGCTGCCTGAGCAGCCCATGGACAGTGGGCCACTGGATCTGGTCATTAAGAACCGGAAGATCAAGGAGGAGGAGAAGGAGGAGCTGCCCCCACCCCCACCCCCACCCTTCCCTAACGACTTCTTCAAGGACATGTTCCCTGACCTGCCAGGGGGGCCTCTGGGCCCCATCAAGGCAGAGAACGACTACGGTGCCTATCTCAACTTCCTGAGTGCCACCCACCTGGGGGGCCTCTTCCCACCCTGGCCCTTGGTGGAAGAGCGCAAGCTGAAGCCCAAGGCCTCTCAGCAGTGCCCCATCTGCCACAAAGTCATCATGGGGGCCGGGAAGCTGCCGCGGCACATGAGGACCCACACTGGGGAGAAGCCATACATGTGCACCATCTGCGAGGTCCGCTTCACCAGGTGCGCATTGCAGCCTCGGGTGCGGGGGACAGGGCCGGAGGCCATGGGGGACAGCGGAGTTGGGCAGGGAGGCTGGGGATGGCAACAGAGACCTAGAAGGATCCCAGACACATGCAGGTTCGTGGCTAGCAGGGGTGCTAGGCGTCACCTGGTACTGTGACTTTCAAACCCTTTTTAGGGGCTGCAGTATTTTCTCAGATACAATGTTAGGTGGAAACCCATGACATAAAACAGCTAAGAGCAGGGCTGTTCCAGTTGGGACAGAAGTGAGGCACCTCAAGCATCTTGGTTGCTTGGCTTCCCCATCATCTTCCAGCTGTAAATTCACGGAACCCAGTTGGAATGGATGGCCCTCCCAGATGGAGTGCTGCCCCTTCATTTTATTTGGAGAAGCAGCTGCTGACCTTTATGAAGCGTGTTCTACATGCCAGGGGCCGTCCTAGGCACCGTAAACATACTCTCACCACAGCCAGGCCCTGGGAAGATGGGAAGATGGGGAGACATGGTGGGCTTCCTTTACGATACACCTCCCAGTAGCTGACCACGAGTGCGCGCACTGGAAAATGGCAGAGCTGGGACTGGCATCCCAGTCCCTGTGTGACAGCCAAGTCTGTGGCCAGGAGACTGTAGAGGTGCCTGTAGGCCCTTTCCATCATTTTGGGGTCAGACCTAAAGGTTGGGCCTCTTTTTATGTTCCCCTCTTTGCCTTTCCATGTTAGGAAGGGGGACAACTTTATGTTGTTATAAAATTTGAAATCAACACATTATAAACCTGTCACCTTTCATAGACCCTGTCCCATTCAGCAAGTGTAAGTTACATGCCTACTCTGCACAGCAACTTTTGCAGTCAAAACTGATGAGTGGGTTGATGTGGGTTCAGACTTGTCCGCTGCCAGCTTTGGAGAGGGCTCACTTTTGGAAAATATGGGCTGTTGGTGCTGTCTGTGGTTCCTGGCATGAGGCTGATCTTCTCAGCCCCATCCACAAATGGGGAGGATTCTGGTGGGTGGCCTGGCATCACGGCTTGGTCATTTCAGTGTGTCCTGTGTGCACAGAGCCTGGCGATGCCTGCCCTGTGACCACGACTTACTAGACCAGGTTCCTTCCCCACACTGCCACTTTCCCTCTCAAGTAGCTCACCTGGAGAGACCCACACTTATTCTGGTGGTGCTGCTGCTGCCCCACTTCTCCTTGGAGATGTATCTTTGGGAATTGCTGGCAGCTCATTCTTTTGATTTTCCTCAGTGGGCCCAAAGTTGTGGCCTGAGGATGCAGTATAAGTTTGTGAATGAGGGTGGATATCAAATCAGGGACTATGCTTTTCCAGAAAAAAAAAAAAAAAAAAAGATGAGTCCTCTAAAGTCACGTGACCTGTTCTCTTGGGTAGCTTGGAAACTAACGTTGGCAGAGAAGAGTTTCAGAAATTCGCTCAGTGGACAGTGGTGTGGCTGAAATCGCTCTGCTGGCTCCTCTGATGACTGCTTTGAAGGACAACACTGATTATTTCCCAGGCAGCCTTGGGGTCCTGCTCACAGCTGCTTCTGTGAGGAGAACCCCAGACAGCATCTGTCCCAGATGCTTCCAGGGACAGTGGAGGGACAAGCTGCAGGAGCAGAGGGGCAGGGCCTCACAGACCCAGGATGTATCTTCCTTGCCCTTAGCAGTGAGCTAAGCCAGCCACCCGGCAATGCTGACGGCAGGGCACCCTGCTCCTGTTAGCCCCTAGAGCAGACGGACCCAAAGTTCCTGAGATTCACCTCCCCTTGGATGTCCCTCAGTGACAGCCCTGCCACCCCAGTGCCACTGTGGATGATGCTGCCCCCTGCCTCCTCCTGAATTCACCTTAGCCCCACGGAGCCAGGCAGAACACCTGAACAGGCCTTGGCGAAAGCACAGAAACCACCGAGGGAGATAAACCAGAGCACCATGTGAAAGCCAAATTCAGGTGCAGCTCACGCATCTTCAAGGGGAGTCTGGCTTCAGCCCGAGTCCCAGCCCCTGCCTATGACTTTAAGGTTGCCAGGAAGCTCTGCACAGGCCCAATCAGGAAAGCCAGCCGCGTTATCAGCCCGGAGCATCCTCTCCTGCTAACACAGGCTCCACCTCCCTCACTGCCCATGGCTGTCCACTTGGCAGATGGCTGACAGGAGCACCTCTCCCATCACAGGAGACTGAGGCTGGTGACTCCAATTCCAAAGGGATCTGTGTCTCAGGGTGGGTGGCCCTGCTGGCACCCTGAGCCCCCACCTCCCTTCCTTCCCCACTCCCTTTTCTCTGGCCCACACACAGCCTTCTGTGAGGTCCACACCAGGTCTGGACGGTCTGTGTGCCCTGGTTTTTTTTGTTTTTTTGAGACGATTTCACGCCCGTCACCCAGGCTGGAGTACAATCACATGATCTCAGCTCACTGTAACCTCCGCCTCCTGGGTACAAGTGATTATCCTGCCCCAGCCTCCCAAGTACAGGTAGCTGGGATTACAGTTGGGCGCCACCATGCCCAGCTAATTTTTGTATTTTTAGTAGAGATGGGGTTTCACTATGTTGGCCAGGCTGATCTCGAACTCTTGACCTCAGATGACCCACCCATCTCAGCCTACCAAAGTGCCTAGATTGCAGGTGTGAGCCACTACACCCGGCTTGTGTGCCCTGTTTTAAGGGAAAGTTTTCACCTTGCGCAGTCACTGCTGACAGATTCTTCACCCTCTGGACCCTGGGACATTCTCTGAGAGCAGGCCTCCTGGTTGGGGCAGCAGTGCTGTGTTGTATAGGAGGGTGACATTCCAGATTCCTCCCTCCTAGCACATTCCTGATGGTCACTTGGGATGGCCTCTGTGTCTGCAGTCCCCACTCCCAGCCAGGTCTGCGGTGGGGCAGCTCTGGTCATCCAGCCATCTGGCCTTGGGCTCCTCCTGCTCCAGAATGGCAGCCCTCTGGCCCCAGGCCTGTCTCCAGCTGAAGCCAGTGCATTCCAGCCCCCTTGGCACCCCCACCACTTGTCCCCACTGGGCTCTGACCCTCCCGAAACAGATCAGACAAGCTCTTGGGTCTCTCTCTTACCAGGAGGGGAGAAACCCTGAGCTGGGGGAAGGCAGGGTGGAGGAGACAGCTCCTCCTCACTTCAGAGGCTTTATTGCTCACCGTGGGCTGTGGCTGCCCTTGTGGGGCACTCCCTGTTCTCCTCCCTCACATTCTCCAGAATCACTGGGCCTTTGCTTCTCACCCCGTCTCTGGAGCTGCCTGGCAAGGATTCTTTTCAGTGCTTGAAGAGCCCCAAGCCTGGTGTGTCCAGGTTGAGGTTTTCCTGTAATTCTCCCTGTGGCCAAAGCTCCCTGCAGGCTTTCCACGGGGACCTTCTTTTTGGCTGAATTCCCCGTTAGGATTCCTAACACCTGCTCCTTCCACCTGGAATCTCTTTAGCAGCCACTTAGAGCAGCAACAGCCAGCTGCCTTATTGACACAGAATTCCCAGACTCCCTTCCAAGGCCACGCCACTGAGACTGGGCCCTGTAGTGTCCCTCTTGTCCCCCAACAAAGACCCAGACATGCTGCCCTCAAGCCCTCTTCTTGGAAATGATTTCCCCTTCTGGAACCCAAGTCTTTCCTTCAGCACAGCTGAGCTTCTGCCCTGGCAAAGCCCCATTTCCTCCCTCCTTGATGCTGGGAAGAGCTCAGGGTCCTGTGACATTCCTGTGGGGTGCTGGAGAAGCCTGCCCTTCCCCCACATGGTGGCCCATCAGCCCAGGCTCTGAGTCACGGCCTCCCAGATGCCAACTCCCAGGATGTCCACACCCCATGGGGACGTCACTCCTAATGACCTCAGCAGCTACAACCAAGGTGGAAGGCATGGGGTCCCTTCCAGAAAAGCCCCTCAACCCCTAAGGCCCTGCCCGCTGCTGTCATTCTGTGGGTCCGGAGAGAAGGGGCAGAGTTCCCCCTCACCACAATGGTATTGTCTATTCTTTGGTGTCAGAAACCTCACCTCTGAGGCAGCTCTAGATTTCAGCCCATCCTACCAGTTGTCCCACCACTGATCTGTTCCAAATATGAAATATCCCTAGGCAGGGCCTCAAAGGCATCAACCAAACTGTTTCTTTGGCCCCATGCTGTCCCTTCCTAGCTCTGGTTACCCCATAACCACTGGGGCTCCCTTTGCCTGTGCACTCCCTTGGCTTAGTTCAAGGGCACTGTTTTCCTCCTGGAAAAGGCTTGTGCTGGCCAGAGAGGCGGCTCCTGTCCCTTCCAGGCCCTACTCGAGACACAGAAACAGCTCCAGGTCATAGGGCAGAGGCAGTCTATACCAGGAGTACCTCAGACCCTCTTCATCAGGGGTCCTTTTCCCTTCTCTTCCCAGAAAGTTGGGAAGCCAGGAGCCAAAGGTTAGTATGGCAGAGTGCTGCCAGAGGTGACACCTAAGTCGAGCCTAGAAGAACAGGAGCCATGTGATCTTGGGAAGATAAAGCATTTGTCTTCATGCATAGGGACACTGCTGAGCTTGGTGGGCATTTTCTCTGTCCACAGACATCCCAGGCGGCCCCCCGCACACCTTTTTGCCCCATGTGCAGCCATCACTGCCAACTGGGCCTGGCCCTGGCCCTGTGAAAGCCTCTGCACCTTCCTCCTCTTTATTCCCACCACATGGGTCCTTGATTGCAGGCCACAGGGACTTGCCTCCTGCCTCCCCCAGCCCTTCTGTTAGGAGTGCCTAGAGAGCATGGCTGGCTGGTCCCCCTCCTGAAGCCCCTGCATCCTGGCTCCCGGCGCTGCCCCAGCCATGCCTGATGGGGACAGTAATGAAGGCAAGAAACTGCAAAATGAGAAGAGACTGGCTCAAAGACAGCAGAGGTCCCATGGAGGGCACACGGTCCTGGGTGGGGATGGGCAACCTGTGCAGCACAGTCACTCTCTGATAAGCCACACTTTCCAGTTCCCGCTGAACCCCGAAGGCTGCGCCTTTCCATCTCCACCACCCTCCTCCAGTGCCAGCCTAATGCTGACCAGCCCTGTCCCCCATGGCTGCCTGCTCTCCAGACAAGCCTGCAATCTGCCTTTTGTTTTCCCTCTGTTTTCTTTGTAGTCCTCCCACTCCTGGCAGCTCTGGGAACCCTATTAAGATAATATAATGGCATTAGCAGTGGTAGCAGGAAGAGTGTGTCTCAAACTGTCGGGTTACAAGAAGTCCGGGTGAAGGCTGCTGGGAAAGCATTATCCTGATTGGGAGACTTTCTGGAGGCCACAGACCTCAGGCTGAGACCCCGCAGCTCTTTTCTTTGATTCTGGGAATGAGCTCATGAGGACTCACACATCGTTCCCAACAATGAGCTCACCAGGCTGGAAGGGAGCATGTAGACTGAGGCTTGGGTGTGTATGTCCTTGACTGTCCCTGATGCAGAGAAATGGAACGAGATGGCAGACAAGGGGACCAAGGCCAGAGGAGAGCATGTCGGATTTGGAGTCGGGGACTTCTGAAATTGGCCCCGCTAGTCAGTCACCAAACGTGATGAGCCTCCTCTCTATCTACATTCAGTGTTGTGCAGAGTACGAAAGAGCATCCCACAGGTTCTCATCAAAGCAGGTACCAGAACCCTCCATGCCACGTGCAGGGAGGAAGGTGGCTAGGGGGAGGAAGGGGCACCCTGGCTCTGCACGTGGCCTTCTAGGAAAGCCCTAAGGATGGAGCACCGGTGTCTAAGCACAAGACATGCACACAAGGGAAGGAGCCAGGGTTTACCGGATATCCACCCTATCATGTGATGGGCTGTGCACTGGGGGACCAGCAGTCCCATTCATACTGACATGATAGGGCCATTCTCTTCTCATTCTGCAGTCCTTGCAGGCCACAGGTGTTCAAGGATGCAGAGCTGGCCACAGTGTGGGGCAGTGCACCATGGGGGACAGGCAGGAAGCTGGCAGAATAGATGGGAGTGAGCTTGAAAAGAGCCCAGAAAGCTATGCTAAGGGGTATGTGAGTACATACGCCACTGGACAAGGGATGCCTCAGGAAATTTTAAGTGGAATCTCCGGACCTCCATTCCTACAGAGAAGTGTAACTAAGGGCTCAGCTCCTGAGATTCAGGCTAGAACATATTCCCACTAAACACACGCTGCTTCCACAAGCAGACTGAATTTGTAAAGGAGCAAGGAAGCCAGCCAGCCAAACAGACTCCAGAAAGAAATTTGGTAGACACCCACTACCCAGACGCAAACATTCATGGAGCACCAGCGGTCCCAAGGATGCAGCCCAACCCCCATTTAGAGTTCAGAAAACTGAGGCCAGACCAGAGAAGGGACCTGGTCCAGTTCTTGGACCGTGCCCAGCACCACCTCCAGCACCAATGCACATGTCATAGTATCCACAGGAAAGGTCAGTGTAAAGGAGGAGGCTTTGTGGCCCCTGAACACCATTCCCTCTTTGGTCCTTGCTTTCCTTATCTTGGAAGTAATTAGATCCACGTTTTCAAGGTCCTGAGAAGTGTACTGCTAATAGTGTAGCTTACTGGGCCCACTGACTCAGGCAGTGAATCAGAATGTGGTAAAGTGTGCCTGGTAAACTAGATGATCCTCTGAAGTTTTTTTCCAGAACTGGCTTATCATGAGCTTTACGCAGTCTTCCCACTCCTTACCCCCACTCCCACAAAATGTCTCTGTTAAGGGAAGACAGCTCCTGCCCAGGGCTGAGTTCCTCCCATTGGTACACCCCACTCTTCTGGCCAGAGGGGCAGAAAGCTGGCTACTGGTGCACTCTTGTGATTGTTCTGGTCTGCCCTTTCTGCAGCAGTCCTTGCAGGCCACAGGTTGGGAGCCCCTCATGTGAAAATCTATCCTTCCTCATCCCCAGAATAGCTTACAAACAAACCACAGCCAGGTAGCCCCCCAAGTTTCTTTGCCCCTTCCCAAAGCTGGATAGCTTTGGAAAGCACTTGACTTCTTCGAGCCTCCTTTCTGCCTGTGTCCAAGAGAGGAAATTGCACCAAGTGTGTTGAATCTAGCTCGCCCAAACCCAGATTCTGTCCATCTGCCCTGGACAATGGGAAGTAATGTCTGGTGCTAGGTTTAGCTCTGCACAGAGAGGTTAAATAAGTTGCCTAAGGCCACCCAGCAAGTTGGTGGTGGGTCTGGAGCTACAACTGGGACTCCCAGACTCCTAGAGGGGCCCTACCTCTACACCATACCTTGCCTCTGAAGAATGAATTCCCAGGGTCAATGAAGCCACGTATTTACTTCCCCATAGCAGGTGTTCAATAAAAGGACATTGTAGGCACCTTCTCCATGCTTCTTACATACGTAGACCAATTGCCACAAAAATGGGACTTATTTTAGATACACTAATGAGAAGTTTGGGAGACATTTGAAAATTTGCCACTTACATTGTCCATTGTTTGAGAGTGACCTCAAGGGTCAGTACTACTAATTATGTGCAATAGTGACTTTAAAAAAAAACCTACCTCGGCCGGGCATAGTGGCTCACACCTGTAATCCCAACACTTTGGGAGGCCAAAGCGGGCAGATCGCAAGGTCAGGAGTTCAAGACCAGCCTGACCAACATGGTGAAACCCCATCTCTACTAAAAATACAAAACTTAGCCAGGCATGGTGGCGCATGCCTGTAATCCCAGCTACTCAGGAGTCTGAGGCAGGAGAATCACTTGAGCCTGGGAGGCAAATGTTGCGATAAGTCGAGATCACGCCACCGCACTGCAGCCTGGGCAACAGAATGAGACTCTGACTCAAAAAAAAAAAAAAAACAAAAACAACAACAAAAAAAAAACCTACCTCATAGGCCGTGGTGAGGAGTAATGAGATGATGCATTTAAAGCCCCACTCAGCTGATTCTGAGCCCTCTACCAGGCCTGGTGATGGAGCCCAACTGACCACCTAGCATTAGTGTTTCCATCAGAGCTTGGATGAATTTGTAAAGGCCCAAGACATATCCCTCAGGACTGGGAAGCTGTATCACTCCAGGGGTACAGATGGCACTGTGTACCTGACACTTGCATTTTCATAGTCACAGTGCTGCAGTGAGAAGAAGCCTTGACTCCCAGGCCTGCCATGACCCTCTGGGTGAGCTTGGCAAGTTTCCCAGCTGAGCCTGTTTGCCCACCCACATGGTGGAGGCTTTGCCTGGACCAGTGGTCCTCAATGTGGGGTCCATGGACCACCAGCAGCAGCAGCATCTGACGACTGGTTAGAAATGCAAACCCTGTCCCTCTCCCTACCCAGACCTACTGCTCAGAATCTCTGGGAATAGGGCTCAGCACCGTTTTACCGAGTCCTGATCATGATTCAGATGCATCCTTAAGTTTGAGACCCACTGGCCTAGATGGTGTCTCAGGTTCCCTTCCTCCTCAAAAATCCAATCATCTAGTCTAGGTGAAATCTGGGTTACAGAGACCACAGTATCCTGGTAGGGGGCGGGATATCACAGTAGGCTACTGTGTAGCCTGGGTGTGGCAGGTGGGTCGTAGAAGCAGGAACAGTGGGATGTGGAAGGGAAGAGGGACCCCACTTCCCTTCCTCCCCCTCCCAGGGCCTCTCCAGCCTTCCTGTGAGCACAGGTGGGAGGACTGGATCTGTCCTTTCTGATCCTCCTCCCACAGTGCCTGCCAGTGTTCATGGGAATGTCCTTTTCTCTCCTGCTCTGCCCCGGGAGAACTGGTTTGAAAATGAGAGCTGGTGAGACCTCTAGTGGTCAGGGGACACCAGGAGCCTAGGACCTGCACCTGCTATCCTGGGATTATGTTAAGCAGGGTTTCAATCTGGCCATGTTAGGGAGGACACCTGGACTCCACATCTGCTCTAAATTTCAAAGCAGAGCCTGAAATTATAGGCAGATGCTGCACCCAAGCCACACCTGCAGGAAGGAGGTGGGAAACTAAACACAGAGCTTCCTGGCCCATATGGCCCCGTTGGGGAAGGCTGCGAGTTATTCCAAGAGGAATTCCTGCAGCCCAGCTGCCTAAACCTGAGCCACCTTAAACTGGTTTACCCAGTGTTCAGTCTTTATGAAAACAACCCCCTGATGTCAGTTTTCCCGTCAGGCCACCAGGAGGTGCGTGGAATTTAGTTCACACCAACCCAGATGCTTTCCATCAGCCCTACACAATGAGAATGGATGTCTGGCTCCAGGTTCAGCTCTGTGCAGTGAGGTTAAGTAACTTGCCTGAGGTCACCAGCAAGTTAGTGGTGGGTCTGCAGCTGGAGCAGAGGCTCCCAGACCCCCGGTAGGTACTCCACCCTACATCATACCTTACCTGTGAATAATACCACTTAAACCCTGAAAAGTTTTGCCCTAGATTAGGCTGCATTCTTGTCGCACCTGGCTTTTTTGTAAAACCCTGAAATTGTCTTCAGACAAAGAGGAGAGCCCAAGGCTTAGGATTAGAAACCAATATGCAGGAGGTTTGAACAAGGTGTGCCCAATCTTCTATAGCCTCCCAGATTAGTGCCAAACACAGACAGATCTCAACAGCCCAGGGGCTGGGATGGGACCACGGGCTTTGGGCCAAAGCATATGGATGAACTGGAGGGAAAGCATACGGTTGCCTAGAAGAGTGGGTGTGAGATTAAAGTGCAATCCAGTATCAGCAGAAGTCGCTGCGCTGTTCTAGGACTAAGGTCAGAATGCTGACTTCTGGCAAAGTATCTTCCTAGCAAGTCCATTTTCCAGTATGTGAGATAAACTCCTAATAGAGTGGAGTTTCACCACTCTAAGCTCGGGTATAAAAGGAGTTTGGGGGAGTGGGGCTTTCAGGACACTGCTCCTTCCCCATCCCTTTAATCCAGGTGAGTAACTATACCTGTCTAAGGTGGGGCAGCAGTTGAGGGTAGATCTAGCATGAGATCTCTCTCTAGTAGGGAGCCTCCGCTGGTTCTGGAGGAAGGGGGAGCAGAAGGTTAGGAGTGGCTCCTGGTGTTCCCTGCGGGACTGACCCCCAGTCTCTGCATTGCAGGCAGGACAAGCTGAAGATCCACATGCGGAAGCACACCGGTGAGCGGCCCTACCTGTGCATCCACTGCAACGCCAAGTTCGTGCACAACTACGACCTCAAGAACCACATGCGCATCCACACGGGCGTGCGGCCCTACCAGTGCGAGTTCTGCTACAAGAGCTTCACGCGCTCCGACCACCTGCACCGCCACATCAAGCGCCAGAGCTGCCGCATGGCGCGGCCCCGGCGCGGCCGCAAGCCCGCCGCGTGGAGGGCAGCCAGCCTGCTCTTCGGGCCCGGCGGCCCGGCCCCCGACAAGGCGGCCTTCGTGATGCCGCCCGCGCTGGGCGAGGTGGGCGGCCACCTGGGCGGTGCCGCCGTGTGCCTCCCGGGCCCCAGCCCCGCCAAGCACTTCCTGGCGGCGCCCAAGGGCACCCTGAGCCTGCAGGAGCTGGAGCGGCAGTTCGAGGAGACGCAGATGAAGCTGTTCGGGCGCGCGCAGCTGGAGGCCGAGAGGAACGCGGGGGGCCTCTTGGCCTTCGCGCTGGCGGAGAACGTGGCGGCTGCGCGGCCCTACTTCCCGCTGCCCGACCCGTGGGCCGCGGGCCTGGCCGGCCTCCCTGGGCTCGCCGGCCTCAACCACGTGGCCTCCATGTCTGAAGCCAACAACTAGGCGGGTCCCTGTCGACTCCAGTCCTCCAGTCCTCCTCCCTCCAGGCCCGCTGTACCCCACTCCCTGGATCTGAACTTTGCATTTTAAAAACCCAAAGGGAAAAATGAAAAAAACAAACAAAAAAATACTAGAAGTGATGGCATTTTCCCGGGCTCCTAAAGCAGCTGCCTCCTTTTGCTGGTGTCTGAGAGGGGCATCTCCTCCCAAAGAGCCTGGAGCCCGGGCCTCCCCTCCCCCCACCCCCGGCTGTCTCTCTGGCTCTCACATAGAAATTTGCACTGGCCCATGCCACACGGAGCTGGGTGCCCAGCAGCTCTTAGGAGCTGGGTGAGTTATGAGGGGTCAGGGGCGGTTGGCCTGGTGCCCAGCCAGTCAGAGCAGGAGCAGGGTAGGGGCTGGGCATGCACCTTGGTTAAGCCCCACCCCCTGTGATCAAGTCTCCCCAACACTCCTCTGAGGGCTCATTTTCCAGTCTCCAGTGGCCCCAGGGTCCTTTTGAGAACTAGCCACCTGCCACCTAGAAAGAAATGCTCTTTGGCAGGGAGGCCTCCTGGAGTCAGGAACCAGGCTCTGGGAGGACAGGGTCATTTTTCCCTTACCTGTCCAGTGACCTTGACAGGTCGGCCCTCTGTATCTCGGTGCCACCTGGCTATGGAAGGGGCTGGTAACTTAGGTTCCCTTCCTCTGCCCCTAAACACATATACACCTATCTCCCCAGAGAATCCTGGAGAGGACAGGAGCTCTGTACTCCCCAGGTCCATGGGGAAAAGTTTATCTTTCTGGACTTAGTTTTATCACATCCAGCTGTCTATTACCATATTCGCATAGGTGAGAACTATGGCCATACTAGACAGAGGTCACAGGAGACAGGGGAGCTTCAGAGCGTCACCGAAGTCCACAGGCAGCTCTGGGAACTCCCAATGCCACCCTACTTTCCCTGCAGGCCGCTGTTGATGTCTGAACCCCTGGGGGCACTATTTAGTGTTTACCCCATATCTCCAAGGCCCCCTCCAAGGCTGAGCAGTGTCTTGGGGCTCTCAGGGCCAACATCGAAGAGATGGGGGCCACCTCTCAACACCTAGCAACTGTCTCTCCTCACCCTGATTCCTGAAAACAGACAAAATGTCTGGTTTTCTCGGGTTTATGTTTGCTTTTTAAGTTATGGGTTCCTCAGGGCACAGCATGGCTAATGATGGTCCCCTTTGTTGTGTGAGAGCCCCCTCCACCTCTTCATCCTCCCTGTGGGGGTGAAGTGGGAGTATTTGGGTCTCCTTTTTTGGCAAAAGGGCTCAGTACAGGGAGGTGGAAGCCTCCAAGGTTTGAAGGGCACTGTGACTTAGGGCTGTCACATGTTCTCCTGGTTCATGAGTTTGAAGCAGGTCCTGAAAAGGAAGGCTCTGCTGGCCCCATGCCTTCCTGACCTTCTCTCTCCTTCCCTCCCCTCTCTTTTCTTGCCGAGTTCGCTTTGGTTTCTCAGCAGCCCAGAGAGGAGGAGGGTTCATCCCCAGGGAGGGTCCAGGGCTAGTCCCCAGTCCCTGTGCCGTGGGCACAAAGAGACTTCAGCTCTTCCTGTCGCCTTGGCTTTTTCCTGAGCAAACACACAAGAAACAAAAAGGCCGAGAAGAGCACAGACTCTGTCCCTATCACAGCTCTCCAGAAGAGACCTCTGTGATTCTTTGTACCACCGGATGCCACTCCAGCCGGCAGGATTGCTACACACACCCTCGGTCCTCAGAAGTCATCTACCTGGGCAGCCGCCTCTCAGATTCCTGTCTTCGTTTCAGACATTTGCCTCTGAAGCATGCCTGTATCCACCAGCCAACGTGCCCGTGTCCCCCCTTCCCCAATCAGCCAAGCGAGTGGGGCCAAACCAAACTTTAAAAGAAAAAGAAAGGAAAAGTGAATAAATTGGATTCCAGTGGTGTTGGGGCTTTCGTTTTTATTTTGTAAAGGTAATGACTTCTTATAAACTCAATTTTTCAGATGACTGGTTAGTTCTTTGTTTTTTCTTAGCTGCAATTTGGAGTTGTACATTGTAAAATATCCAAAGATGTTGAGTACTGTATGATCAAGAACTTGAAGCAAATGGGTTGTGGGGGGAGGGGTGGTTGTGTTTTTATTTTGCTTCAATTTTTTTTTTTTTTTTTTTGTTTTGATTTATTTTTTTTTTTTTTTTGTTTTTTTTTTTTTTTTTTTTTTTATGTTTTGATTTCCCTGTCTGTCTGTGGGAGAACTTTGGAATTTTTTCTATTTATAACTCCTTTTTTATGTGATTGCTCTATGTAAAATGACACTCAACAAAGTTTGCCTTAGTGATTCAAGGGACAATCTTCCATAACTTTGGTCGCACGCCGCATCCTGCCGAGAGCAACTCTCAGCTAATTTTCTGGCCTATTTATTAAACAGTATTAATTGACTTGATTAAATTATATTGAGAGTCGCACTTCTGTGAGATGTGACTTCTGGAAGTTCACAGGACAGCAACAAGCCAATCGTAAGGTTTTTGACTGGTGGGTGTCAAAGTTAATGTCAAAGACACCTTTATAAAACAAACAAAAGCCTTTGACCCTTCATACTTTAAAGGACAGTGTTTTGAGTAAAAGTGAGCTATGCTTGATTAATTTCCTGGTAAGATGCATTCCCCCTTCCAGTTGCCATTTCAGCTACCCAGGGGTGTCGCATGGTAGGGAGGGCAGAACTCAATTCTCAGCAGTCTCTTACATTCCAGTTCTGCAAAGCATGGTTGGATCTTAAGCTTTGGGGCATCTGTCGGCCTAAGTGTAAGGTGTGCGTGCGTGTGTGTGTGTGTGTGTGTGTCTGTGTTCACACACGTGTGCAGCTGCAGCCCCGGGTATGTGAGCAAAGGAAGTCCTGCCAGTTCCCCAGCCTGGCGTGCGGAGTGGGCCCCCATTGGTCCTGCTGCTGCCTATTCCTGCTTCCTCTCACTTCCTGGCATTGGAGTTGGGCTTCTCCTCCTTTCTTCACCTGAGCCTCTTCCCCAAAGAACATTAGATCCTAAGAGAACCTACGGTAAGGGAATATACTTCTGTCATTGGATGGGGTTAGCTCTGCTTAGAACCCACAGCCCAGACTCTTGGTAACATTGTTTTCTAACTGCATTTCTGGATAACCAAGGGTCAACCCAGAGCCTCTTTTCTGTTTTTGATTCCTTTCTTGCCATAGTAGGCACCTTCTGTGCAGCGTTTCTTGGTACAAAGAAAAGAACAGATCTGGGTTTCCAATCTGGACTCCTCCAAGCTGTGTGACTTCAGTCTAATCACTGTTCCACTCTGGTCCTCACTTCCCTCACCTCTCGTAATAAAGGAAATGGAGTCATCAGAGCTTCTCGAAGTTCTCCACCTAAACATCCCTCAGCAGAGGGGGCCAGCTGGTTGGCAAACTGGCGGCAGAACCCTAAAGAAGTAGCCCTAAGTAACCTATCTGTAGTGTAAAACTCCTTTGGGAAGGGAGTCTCCTGTTTTGGCTTTGAAAGTCAGGCTTCTATATTCTGTTACATAACATATACGCATCTGTCTTAATATGAAAACGTTGTTTTGATCAACTTGCCACTTAAGTGACTTGCCTTTTCCCCAGAACCTTCTAGTGAAGTTGGAGTGTTCCTTGGTCACTCTACAGCTTTGGGAAGCCGCAGCCCCTGGCTGAGGGCTCAGGTGTAAGCATAGCCCACTGCAAGAAACATAAGGCCAGATGCTCATCAAGAGTTTGCTCAGCTCGGCCATTCTAGGATCATGTGGTCCTCATTCTGGGGGTCAGTGTCCACTGAGTGGTGAAGTAGGTGAAGATGGAGAAGGGGTAGGGAACTGGGCCCAGCTGACCCTGACCCCTGGTTGCTCCTGGATCTCCTGTGAGTAAAATCTCCTTCTAGCCCTGGTCAGGTGGGAATCCCATGGACCCCGGCCATGTGTGGCCTGCTCCCTGGGGCCTCAAGGTGCTAAGGGAGGTGGGGTTCTGACAGCTAAGGAGCCTTCAGTGGAGGGAAGAGGGAGTGAAGGAAGGAGGATGAGGCCTCCGAAGATAGGCCAAAGAAACATGTGCAATTTACCTAGAGAAGAAAGCGTAAGTGATACATTCAAACAGGCATTGGGACTTCTACAGGTGTGTTGGGGAGGGGAAGCTTTCGCCAGAAATTTGGCCAACCCCAGCCAATAGAAGAGGGATCCCAGGAGGCAACTGGGTGCCCAAAAACCAGAAGAGAACTTCCTAACACCTGGAGTTGTCCTAAAGAGGAACGAGGTCCCTCATGAAGGAGTGAGCTCTCAGTCAGGGCAAGAGTTCAACACCGCCTTTCGAGTGCTGGAGACCAGGCGCGGTGGCTCAGGCCTGTAATCCCAGCAATTTGGGAGGTTGAGAAGGGAGGACTGGATTCCTTGAGGCCTGGAGTTTGAGATTACAGTGAGCTGTGATCACACCACTGTACTCTAGTTGGGTGACAAATCGATTTCAAAAAAACAAAAACAAAAAAAAAAGATTACTGGAGAGGAGAGTCTCTAGGGCGCCTTCCATCTAATTTGTGAAAAGGTGAATACACATCCCCCATATGACTGTGGACAAAGAACCAGAGGGAGTGGGGGGGCGAGTGAAAAACCAGCACTGGGCAGGTTCACAAAGCTCAGCTTGGGGGCCCAGGGCTGCTAGCCCCCATTTCCCCACCAGTCACCTACAGCAAATTGGGGCCAGAGAAGGGGACTCCAGAGAAAAACCGGGTTCTTATTTAGAGCCTCCAAACGTGACAAGAAAACAGTCATGACCCAACTGGAAGTAAAACCCTCATCTCAGGCCTTCATCTGAGCCAGGGCCCGCCCCTTCTTGAACCAGGACAGAGCCCTTTACTGACCGCACTCCTCCTTTCCTGTAGCCTGGACACCTTTCCCTCCCTGAGGGACCTCTGAGCTCACTGCAGAATGGGCAACCAGCACATAAGGGGCTCTTCCGGAACAGCGCACAGCCAGGCGTCCCTGACACGGCCTTTCCCCTCTGAGAGAAGGTGAAGTTAGGGCTTCATACGGGCAAGTGAGTGAAGGGCCAGGCCCCAGCTGGAAGCAGGAGCCAGCGGGGGTGGGGGCCTTATGGGAGGGAAGTGCCAGGCAACTCACATGCAGAGGGGCCTCCAGGGACCTGGGACGTCCTGGGACAAATTCCAGAATGAGGAGGTTTGTATCCAGTGACCCCTTCTAACTCCCCATGTCCTCCTTTTCTCTGTTCCCAGTGTCTCTTCCTAGCACAACTGCTCCTCTGCGTGTAGACATGCTGCCTTTCTCTCTGTCCAAACCTGCCCTGAAAGAAGTCACCAAATGTGAACGTGACTCAATGGCTCCCTCTCCTGGCCTTTGCCGCCCCTGCTTCTCAGTCAGGTAGAAAGAAAGGCCCCTCAGCAAAGCACTGTCAGATCACCAGCAGCACACAAGCCTGTTTTCTCTGAACAGAGGAGCCTTGAAATTGCAGCCTTGAACACTTAGCGACCTCGCGGCTCCCGCCCATCCCTCCCTCACCCCGCTTCCCCGCTCAGAAAGGGATGCGGAATGCGGGAAGCAAGCAACTAACCTTCCGCTCCTTTCAGGTTTGAAGGCTGAGGACTGAGTCAGACAAGCATTTCCATACATTGTTGGAAAGAGGATTCCCTGGGGAGATCCTGCTCCTTTTCCCTCCTTGGCACACACTGGGTAGGGGCTACTGTGACCTTGAATGGCAATGCCCACGTAGCCTAAACCAAAACATATGGGCCCAGAAAGGGCCTGACATATGAAAATAAAACATCTCAAATTTGCCCTGGAAAACCTGGAACCTGATCACTTTATCTGCAGCCACACACACACGCACACACACACACACACACACACACACACACNCACACACACACACACACACACACACACACGCACACACACACACATGCACACACACACGTGCACACACACACCACTTGGTCACCAGACAAATGGGGCACAGGCTGATGTCATCGCTCCTTGTAACAATAGGAGACACGACAGTGCATGAGCAAGACCCAGCAAAGCCATTTTCCCCACAAGCCTCCTGCTGGAATATGTATAATGCACACTCAGATTGTCCCTTGCGGCTCCTGTCTTTAACCATCAACCCTGACCCCAACAACAAAAACAAAAGAACATATAGGCTTCCAGAATAAGGAAGGAAGGTAGAGTGAATCAGATCACTTTCCCATGTTTCTCTCACAATTAATAAATGAAACATGCACACTCTGAGTAACGTAGGTGCCTTCTGCCTTCTGGGAGACCCTTGCTTCCACGAACCTTCTGGTTTGCACCCCAGGAAGCAGGTATCAGCATCCCTATTCCTAACAGCCGGAGTTTGTCAAACACTGGAAGCCACTTCAGCTAGCTTAAGTAGAAAAGGCATTTATTACAGGAAATTAAGTCTCTTTCAGAATTTTCACAAGAGCCAGAAGAAAGTCAGGCTGGCAGAGCCACCAAGATCAGTTGTCCAGGTTGCAAACTGCACAACACCATTACATTTAGAGGCTGTCATTGATTCGGACATTTGTATACTAAACAATTGTCCAGCAGAGGGCAGTAAAGCATCTTGAAAGGGTGCCTAATTGTCTAATTTGCACGAAGTCACCAAATGGATTAGGGGCAGAACATGGCCTGGAAACCAGGAAGCCAAGAACTGCCCAAGCCACACTGTGTCAGATTGCTGCAGCCCAGGCCCTGGATGTGGGGACTCTGACCTGTGGCCCACTCTCCACCAATGTCTCCCAGGAAAATGGGTGTCACGCCCTGCACTCCTTCACACTGCTCTCTGCGACGTGAAGTCTAGCGCTGGCACATCTGATTGGAAGAGCCCAAGACCCATGCCCCTGCCTCATGGCAGCAGCCTGGGAAAGCAAGCGCCTGGCTCCGTCGGCCTGAGAAGGAAAGATTCATGACGTACATTCTCCAACAGAAGAGCTTCGTTAATGCTGGGTGGCCTCAACATGTGATATGTCCATGC